TGGTCTTCGACACTGTCCACCGAAAGGGCAATCATCTTAACGTTCTTTTTGGCAAATTCTGGTGCCAGCTTCGCAGCTCTGCCAAGCTCTGTGGTGCACACGGGGGTAAAATCCCGAGGGTGGGAGAAGAGAATGCCCCATCTGAAAGAAAGGAAGAGGAAGTCACAACTTACTGGAGAGGTTATCACCATCAATGTAGAATGAGAAATCACAAATCCTAGGTCAAAAATGACTTTCTTTTTTATTTATTTTTTAAAAAGATTTTTATTTATTTATTTGTCAGAGAGAGCACACAAGCAGGGGGAGCAGCAGAGGGAGAAGGAGGGAGAAGCAGGCTTCCCGCAGAGGAGGGAGACCGATGTGGGGCTCGATCCCAGGACTCTGGGATCATGACCTGAGTCGAAGGCAGACGCTTAACAACTGAGCCACCCAGGCGCCCCGACTTTCTTTTTTAAATGAATGCTTATGAGGACAATTACTTTTAGATTTTTGTCGAGGAATGCTTTCTGATCTTCTTACTTCCAGAAAAGCCCATGTTTAATGCCCAATTCCACATGATAAATGTCTTAAAAGACTCTAATTTAAGGGTCTTGCCTCCTTTAATAACTATAGGGCCACCCTGACTCTTTTCAGCTCATAAAATCTGTGCTATTTAAACCAACAAGCTTATTGAAATAAATTCCCCTCCCCCTGCTTACTCCTATTTTTTTTTTCTAGGCACAGAGACCCTGACATTTAGCTTCAACAATTGATGTCCCAATGTGCCCCAATCCAAACAAATGCCTGATTGCAATAATAAGCAGGTTATGTAATCTGAAATAAATAGGCTTCTATCCCCTATTTATATGTAAAATTAAAGTTGACACTTGGCTTCTGTGTAGTGAATGGATATAAAAACTTTTGTAAGTAGGCTTTCCTGACCTAGTCTGCCAAACAGGACACCCAGTCTTTGCACCCTGACGAAATAGCTGTTTTACCTGTCTCTTCGTTTGCAGTTTCTTTTTCTTCCTGCTTTAGACCAAGTGGGCAGAAAACTGAGAGCCTACAACAGATTTTTAAAACTACAGATTCTTAGGTAAATCCTAGTATCTAAATCATCATTGCCTAAGGTAAAACTTTGTATAGATTTTAAGCACATTTCAAGTCACCAAGAACTTTTGGACTACCACTTCCTTCTCTTCGGCAACAGAAGCTACTCTTCTGACTGAAAAGGAAAATTTAACACTCGGTTTTCCACGACCCTTGTTGATGTACGTTAAACCAGAATCCTAAACTATCTTTTAAAAAAAAGTGCGCCCGGGGGGCTCAGTGGGTTAAACTCAGGTCATGATCCCGGGGTCCTGGGATCGAGTCCCGCATTGGGCTCCTTGCTCAGTGCGAAGCCTGCTTCTCCCTCTCTCTGCTGCTCCCCCTGCTTGTGCTTACACTGTCAAATAAATAAATAAAATCTTAAAAAAACAAACAAACAAACCAGGATCCTAAACTAGTAGATTACTAAACCTAGCCTAGATGCCAAGCTGACCTCTCAAAGTTTGCCAAGTTTCCTGAAGCACAAAGAACAAAAGCAGACACAAGGGTACCTCCTTTCCACCTACATCTGCCACGTGGACTCCCAGGGCTTCAGGAAAGGAAAAGCCTTCCCATAAAAAGGATAGAAGGCCCTATGGCAAGACTGGGAAGAGAGGTAATATTTTAGTCTTATCTCGGAAGCTAAACAGGGTCGGGCCTGGTTGGTACTTGGATGGGAGAGAGGTAATATTTTTAAGATTCTGGAGGATTGTGGTAGATTTACTTTTTTATGAAGGGCAGTAAGAGGGACATTGATCTTTTGAAAGAAATAATCCAGGCATGGGTAAAATCTAGGCCTTAGATTCTATGGAAAAGGATCGGCTTAAGGGTCAGATGAGACTTAAGAGAGTCTCCAGGAGTTGAGAAAAAAATAAACAGGACATTTCTTCCTGTGTTGTTACAGGGTTGATGAATTACAAGTGTGAGACATACTCTTTCCATTATGTGTCGAGAAGTTTTGCTGAATCATGCTAAGGAACTGAATTTAAGCCACTTGGCAACCTGCACCCCTCAGAAGCCAAACTCCAGTTTGCCATGTGGCTAGGAATAGGATAACAGAATGTCTTACTTCGGCCTGCCTTCCCCTCTAAGTCTCCCTACTGTGCTCTTAAGAGTAGTTCAATTACATTATCCCATTTCCTTCCTTATTTTCAAAAGACAAAAGGTTTCCTCCTTTAAGGGAAGGGTCCCTACTCACCCCCAGAAAACCCCAGGAAAACACGTTTTGTTTGGTGAAAATGTACTGTAAAGTAGCTGCTTCTACCACATACATACAAAAATAGTGATAAAGCTCATTAAACTCACCAAATGCAGCACCCAAACCCCTTAGCTGTTTCCAATTGTCAGAGGTAGGGCAGATACCTGTATTGTTTGAAATTATTATTATTTTTTTCTCCAAAAAACACCTGGATCAAAAAGTGGCATCTGAATTAAGATCACACACAGAATGGAGTTGGGAAAAATTGTATTAGGCAAAATCAATATGTTATAATTATATAAAGAGCTCAAACTTCTTTTTGGGGTAGGGGAGGGAATACTACCCCATGCCTTATCTGAGGCCGACTTGTTATACTACTTGTTTATAAATGCAGGTATTTTTCTCATCTTCCTACTGGTGGCTCCCTGAGAAGGTACTACTTTTAATGAAATCAAGATAGATCCAGGGGCCAATAAGCAACAACAAGAGGAAACCCAAAAATTAGGGTTAGGGTTAGCTTAAATAGTGATAGCATTTATAATTATTGCTATAGTATGTTAATATTTATCTTTAATCTATACAATCTAAGAGTTCTGGTAAGATTTTGTTGTATGGGCTATAGATGGGAATGGGAAGGAACATACCCTGAAAATCCCATGGACTTTTGGAGAAATACTAACACCTAGATTATGAGATTGGATACAATCTGTATGTCTGAGGTCTTTTCCTACCTTTAATGTCTGAATGTTCCAGTTCTCATCTTTTTTTCTAGCCTAGTTCTCTCTTTCACAGAGCTTAGCTCTTCCCTTAATCAGTGGCTGGACAATGGATTTAAGGGATTGTAAGGGGATGCGTAGGCCTAAAATGCAGGTTCTCTGCATAGCCCCATCCAGTTATTGATTAATCTCATAAAATTCCCTCTCTCTGCCTACAGACACATATACCTGGATGCTGTATATAAAAAGGATACAAATCATGGAGGAATTGTTAAGCCTTACAACATCACAGTGTAAAATGAACACACAAACAAAAAGCCAGGACAGAGTCATACATACAAAGAACCAGCGGTTGCTAGAGGCGGTGGGAGGATGGGTGAAATAGATGAAGGGGATTAAGAGGTACAAACCTGCAGTTATAGAATATGTAAGTCATGGATATGAAAAGTACAGCATGGGGAATACTGTCAATAATACTGTAATGTATGGTGACACACGGTGACAACACTCACTGTGATGAGCACTGAGTAATGTACAGAATTCTCTAATTACTCTGCTGTACACCTGAAGCTAATAAACACTGTACGCCAATTATCCTTCAATAATTAAAAAAAAAAAAAAAAGGAAAACCAGTGTGGTGGGGCTGCTGGAACTCCAGAATATAACGACACATCTTTGGGATGTTTCAGATTAAAACTAAGCAACTTGACAGCTTGCTGATTCAGGAGCTGTAGAATGGAAAACCAGGGCAACGCCGACCTACTCCCAGTCATGACGGTCTGACTGCCAGGCCAGATCTGGCTATCACCAGCAAGGCCACGTGCGGGAAGCAAGGCAGCAGGGGCAGGAAGCGGTGAGGGGCACACCACTGGGAAACAAAAGGGTCTCCAAAGCGGGGAGGGACAAGCGTCCTGGCGCCCGCAAGAGCCTGCCTATTGCGGCGCCAAGAACCGGCCACCGCCGCGGAGCAACCTCAGAAAGCCCTCCCCTCACAGTGCTGCAAGTTCTGGAATGAAGGGCACACCTACATACAGAGTGTTCTTGGTTCCTCCCAGAGCTGTTATCAAATCATATCCCAGCCCCGGCAGGAGGCTCTGGACAACAAGTCTTTCAGCCAGTTATTTGGCAGCTGGTGGTTTTAAATTTTACTTTTTGTGTCGAGAAGCCTGAAACGCCAGTGCAGCAAGCAGGACTTCAGATAACGCGCTGGGCCGTCCCGAGCCTTCAGCCAGCAGCAGTGTCTTCAGACTGGCCTGAAACACCCACCTTCCCCAGGGAGCAAATTCCAGAACGCAGGGAGGGAGGTGCGACCCTGGGCACGAATCCCGGGACGTGACCGCTGATGCCGCCCGACCCTTGCCCCCGCTGGGCCTCGGCTTGACCGCGCTACTTGGCACCGCTCACCAAACCGAGTGAGATAGGCAACCAACCCTCCGCATCCGCCTCCGGTTCCCGGACCTGCGGGAACCCAATTTCGCTCCCCTCCCCCTTTCCCGCCGCGGAGCTAGCTCAGCCACGCGGGGGCCGCAGGCGGGAGGGGGGGGTCCAGTGGCCGGCCCCCAGCAGCGCTCGGCCGACGCGGGGCAGGGGCCACTCGGCCAGAGGCACGTGCAGGAACCGGTGCGGGGAGGAGGCGGGCGGCGAGCAGGAGGCTGAGCGGGAAGGAGGACGGAAGGGAGAAGAAATAGGAAAGGCACCTCCGAGGCCGGGCGTAACCCGAGGCCAAGGCAGGGCTATGAGGTGGCCACTTACGAGTCTCCTAGATAGTCGTGGAAACGGATGCGGCCGACGGTAGTATTGGCCTCGAAGTTGGGAGCCTCGTCCCCGAGAAGGAGACCTCCGGGCATGGCGGCAGCGGTGACGCGGTAAGACAAGGACGCGCAGCAGCGACAGCCACCAGCTTGCCGGCTCTGGCGGTGTAGCTACCGGCAGCAGAGTAAGCGCGGCCGCGAGGGGTGGGACGCGGGCGGAGTGGGCGGGGTCAGAGGCGGAGTCTAGGTGGGCGGGGCCGTGGCAGGAGAGGGTCGGGACTGGACCTGGCCGCGGGCCGGGTGGACCTAGCCGAGGTCCGCGCGGGTGCGAGGGAGGGTCCGGACCTCCCGAGCGAGGGGCGGGGCAAAGGTGGATGAGCTCTGGGCACTGGTCGGCTGCCTCTGAACGGGCCCGGAGCCTGCGGGCATACGCCCGCGTCTCCACTCACGTGACGTTGGACTCAGGGACCTTACCCCCTGGAGGCTTGGAGGTGAGCTAGATTTGATCCTGCAGTGCGTCCGGGCTTTGAAGGTGCAAGGAAGCGGAGCGCAGTAGAAGGGGAGCCCCGAGGCGGAGAATCGGGGTGCGGGATGACGAATCCGCGGAGGTTCTCCTGTACGTTCACGCTCGGTCTCCTGACCCCTCCACTTACCCCTCTTTAAGTGTGAGCTTCTGGAATCCTGACCACCCCAGCCAGGCTAGCTGTCATGAACTCTGTATCAGAGGATGTGGCAAGACCCAGACATGTAGGGGACCTTATGTCAGAGGAAGTGGCTTTCATATTGCAGCAAAAATTCCAGCACCTATGTCATCAGTCACCGCCTGGGGGAATGTGACTAAACTTTTATTTCACTTCCCTCTCCCAGTATTGCGAACTACAAAATAGTCAACGCAATTATCCTGAAATTTAGATATCCATTTTTTAAAGATATATTTATTTATGGGGGGAGGGGGAGAGGGAGAGGGAATCTGAAGCCGACTCCCCGCTGAGCGTGAACCCCAGGAGGGGCTCTATCCTACAACCCATGAGATCATGACCTCAGCGGAAACCAGGAGTTAGTTGCTCATGGGACTGAACCACCCAGGTACCCCTGAAATCTGCATATACGTTTTAAAGCATACTTATTGCGATCTGCTGTGTGCAAGTCAACTCTGCCACCCAAGGAAGTGGGAAGTTTAGATTCATTTATTTGCTATGTGCCAAGCATGAGGCAGACAAAATGACTGGTCTCTTGGAGCTTTCCTTCTAGTAGGGGAGACATAATAAACCAGAATATATTAGATAGCAGTAAATCCTATTTAGAGAAATAAAATAAGGTTCTGTGCTAGAGGGTGGCTGGGGAGCTGCTTTGGATTGGATGGTCTGATCTGGGAAAGCCTCTAGGATGATGTAGGTAAACTACTTGGCACATAGTAAGTGCTCTGGAAATGGTAGCTATTATTTGGCTGATGATAATGGCTTATGCAGTACCTCTTGCTTTGCAAACTGTGTGGGAGGCACTGTTCCAGGCCTGGTGATACAGTGAAGAGCTACAGTCCCTGCTCTTACAGGGAAGGCAGATGTACATACAGTTATGATAAAAATATAGAGTAAATGCTGATGGGGGAGGGTGCTAAATGGTTGGCGTTCAGAAGTGGGAAAATTCACTGCATGGAGCTCCTTAGGCTTAAGGAAGGCACATAGCAATGTTAAGAGAAGTGACTCACATACTGTGATTTCAGTTTTCATCATAGTGCTGTGTGTGGGGTGTGTGTGCGGGCTTGCTAACCGTATTTACTCAGTTTTCCCCTGAACAAGGATTTACAGTAAGATTACTGGTAAAATTTCTAGCAACTCTAGAGAACGCTATAGAGCTACTGTAATTTCATATCTAAACTAATTTGACTCCAAGCTTTGGTTTTAAAAGTGCTATGTCTTAACTCCTTTTGCAGGGGGGTAGAAAGAGAGGAGGGAAAGGAGGGTAATTTAACTTTAATAGACTATTATTAATGCCATGGGGATAGGGTAGACAACCCAGATTTACCACAACTATGGAGAATACAGAAATAGACTATTGATCTCTAGAAAAAGCATAATTGGGGTGCCTGAGTGGCTCAGTCGTTAAGCGTCTGCCTTTGGCTCAGGTCATGATCCCAGGGTCCTGGGATCGAGCCCTGCATCGGGCTCCCTGCTCGGCGGGAAGCCTGCTTCTCCCTCTCCCCACCCCCGCCGCATGTGTTCCTGCTCTCACTGTGTCTCTCTTTGTCAAATAAATAAATAAAATCTTAAAAAAAAAAAAAGCATAATTGTGGAACTGTCTGTTGTAAATTAAGCAAATATAATAAAATAAGATAAATGCCTGTTAGGATTTGCAGTGCCAGAGACTGCACACTGGAAGTCTTCTTGGCCCCTGCATGCTTCTTTGCTTTAGCCTCTGCAGCATTTTAAGTTCTTTTGAATTAGCTGACAACATTCGGAAAACAGGATTTTTTACAAAAATATCTGGATTTCTGTCTCCTGGAAAGTCAGATCTAGCCACACTGGGCCCACGTTGCATGTGGGTGAACAGTGGCTGGAGAGTAGCTTTCTAAGAGTGCATATGTTCCCTGTTACTCAGAAGGTTCCTCACCACATATCAACATTAGTGTCTATTGTCACTTTAATGCCTCTCTTGCACTGTTATAGTTTCTAGAATAGAATTAGGAGGAAAATGAATCCTATCCTAATGTATCCCTATCTCTGTCAAAATTGTGAAAATGAAAGGTTGACCAAGGGCCATATGCTCCAAGGAAGAAAAAGATAGAGCGTATTTCTTTGTCAAAGGAAAGAAGAGTCCCATACACTTAATGTGCAAAATTGTAAGAATACTGTTTGTCCTGTGTGGCCGCTGAGGTCATGATCTCATGGGTTGTGGGATAGAGCCCCTCCTGAGGTTCACGCTCAGCGGGGAGTCGGCTTCAGATTCCCTCTCCCTCTCCCCCTCCCCCCATAAATAAATATATCTTTAAAAAATGGATATCTAAATTTCAGGATAATTGCGTTGACTATTTTGTAGTTCGCAATACTGGGAGAGGGAAGTGAAATAAAAGTTTAGTCACATTCCCCCAGGCGGTGACTGATGACATAGGTGCTGGAATTTTTGCTGCAATATGAAAGCCACTGAAGGTAGGTGCTCCATGGGCTGAGTCCCTCCCGGAGGGCAGCAGTTAGAGCTCTTTTCCCAAGGGCTAGCAGGAAGCGCCATGGGAAGGAGGCAGGGAGGAGGGCCAAGGAAGGCGTTCCAGGGAGAGACCAGAATGTGAAAAAGGGAGACCGTCTAAGGGAGGAATTAACTCTGCAGACAGGGAAGAGGCTGTGGTATCAGGGGAGGAAGATGTTTTCTGGCAGCTGGCAGGGTTGGGGAGAGTCTTGAAGTTCTGAGAAATAACCCCTGGATGGCAGGAAGGAAGGGATTGCTGGGATTTTCAGAGGGCTATGACTCCTGTCTGACTGGTAGGCCCTTCTTCCTTTACCACTTTGGACGGACTGAAGGAAAAGGTGGAAGGATTGGCAATGGCCATTTGGAAGAGCAACGGTGCCTTACTGTCTCTCTCTCATTGTCTCAACTAGGTTGTGAACTCCTAAAGGCTTGACCGTATTTTACTGATAAATATTTGTGACCCACTAGACATGCTGGGCATGGGGCTAGATTACACGACTCGCTGGAGAAGCAGTTAGCTACCTCCTGCCGCCACAACAACAAAGTTTGTCAGCCTCCAGCTGGGAATAAAAGAGCTGCGTGTCCCTAGTGATAACTGTAGCTAGGGAAAAATCCTTATGCGTTGTGGGGGGTGGTGGGGGGAGATACATAAAACTTGAAATTAATGTTAGGGAGGTGGAATTAGGTTTTTAAAAGCAATTCTTATAAGCTTTCTTGTTAAATCTGATTGTCATTTCAGAAATAAAAATAGAAAGAAGGCTGGTGCACGGGAAACTTGTGTGTGGATCCGGACAGTGCTGCCCACCTGCTGTATGAGCAGAGCTGCTAATCTCTCCACTGCTCTTCTCTATCTTTGGTAATGTGGTCACTCCTCCCTGTTGTATCTACTACAGGACATCCGCAATCTGGAAAGAAACCAAGGTGGGAGTGAAAATGAAAATACAACAGCTGTTAAAATGCTGGAATGATGAATAATAACTCAGCAGGGCTCTGGAGTTGTAAATTCTGACACTTATTTTCCCAAATAAAGCACCCTGAAAATTTACTTTTTACCCTGAAAGAGACTGCTTACAAAGTTTCACAAATAACAATTTTTTGGGGGTGGGGGAGAAATTTGTTCATAAGTGGTTAAAGGATTAGATTTAGAGACATTGTATAATTATTGGGTAACTAAAGACCCCAAGCCAACTTAGAATTGTTTGAAGGGTGGTGAGGTAAGTTAACCAGTTCTCTCATCTGCTTTTAGTTAAGCATAAGAGGCCCTATGTGCTAAGGGGAAGCATTTATTACGGTTACAGAGTGGGCAGTGAATATTAATTTGTGAAACTCCATATCTGTATATAACAGAAACTGTCATAGAAAGAGGGGAAAGGGGAAGAGGGAGAGAAAAGAGAGAGAGCAGAGAGCAGAGAAGTCACAAGAGCAGGCAGGCAGAAGAAAGAAGGAAAACAGGGAGAAAGGGAATTTGGAGAGGGACCCATTTGAATGCCTGCCTGCCTTGCCTGGGCTCCCTCCAAAGGAAAGCTGACCATATGGCCCCACCACTCTGGCCCTCGGTGATTGCTCAGGGCTGGGTGTTGGCCCAAAGGCAGTCGGCCTCCAAACTGGCTAACAGCCCCTGAGGGAGCCTGGCACAAAGTGTTTTATTATGGGACCCTCTCTTGGTGATGGGAATGCAAGACAGCAGAGTGGGTCAGCAGTTCGCAGCAGGGGTGGAAGACGAAAGATGGTCAGGCGCGGAAGGGAGCAGAAGCCGTGAGCCGGAGAGTGGAGAGTAGCAGGAACTCGAAGCAGAGTAGCAGGTGAAGGGAGCAAGATAAGCACCAAGTCACTAAAACTACACTGGGGACTAGTGGCCGGCTAGCTTCTGAACTCAAACTCTTTGAGGCCTACTGCCAGGAGGGAGCTAAATAAAGGTCAGTGGTGGGAGAAGCCCTCCCCAGGAACAGGGAATAAAGTTCTGCATTTCCTGAGAATTTAAAGACAAAGACAACAACAACAACAACAACAACAACAACGATGATGATGATCAACAAAATCTGGCACTTCTAAGCAATGTTGGTAATAAAATACTCCTCCCAGAAAAATCTTGATGTTGGTCTAACTTGTCAACGATTGCTACGGTTCTTGTGGAGTTTTTAATAATGTATACATAAGCTCCAGCTTAGCACATTTTAATTACTTATCCTCTAGGAAAAAAAGTATTCTGCATACAAGTTAACTTGCAGAATTCTCCATTATAGAGTCAGCTTTCTGAATATGTGGACCTCATTCATCTCAAGAGTGAACCGATTGTGGCTCAAGCTGTCTTCCAGCACAGTTTCTGTCTATAATTCCTGCATTTAATAATTGCTGCCTTTAAATAGTAGACTTGAAGTAAATGACAATAGCTCAGTGGTTATAAAGTTAAAGTAAGAGAACTTAAGTTATTTTCCTGTGAGTGACTTCTTGAAATTTTTGTTTAAAATTTAAAACACATGCTTCAGCTCAGGTCATGATCCCAGGGTCCTGGGATGGAGCCCTGCATCAGGCTCCCTGCTCAGCGGAGAGTCTGCTTCTGCCTCCATCCCTCCCCTCTGTCAAATAAATAAATGAAATAAAAAAAATAAAATAAAATTTAAAACACATGTACACTGAAAACTATAAAACATTACTTGAAGAAGTTAAAGAAGACACAAATTAATGGAAAAATATCCCATATTCATGGATTGGAAGACTTAATATTATTAAGATGTTAACACTAACCCAAAGCAATTACAGATTCAATGTAATTCCTATCAAAATCCCAAAGTTATTTCTTGCAGAAAGAGAAAAATCCATCCTAAGATTCATATGGAATACCAAGGAACTCTGAATAGCCTCAAAATTGTCTTGAAAAAGAACAAAGTTGGAGGTCTTACACTTTTCTGATTTTAAAACATATTACAAAGTTACAGTTATCAAAATAGTGTGGTATTTGCATAAACACAGACGTATAGACCAGTGAAACTGAAAAGACAGCCCATAAATAAACCCTTATGTACATGGTTGAATAATCTTTGACAAGGGTGCCAAGGCCACTCAATGAAGAAAGACATCCAGATATCTGCATGCAAATGAATGAAGTTGGACCCGTACTTACACCATATACAAAAAAAGGGGGGGTGTGCTTTTTGAAAAAACAAACTGCTATGAAAACTTCCTTGCCCCAAATTTAGTCCAGAGCCTCCATAAGATTACCAGTGGAGGGCAAATACAAATCCTAAAAGTTTTCTACACAAATACTAGTAAAAAAGCTTTAGCAATCCAAGTAGGTTTCCTTAACTTGTTCCATCCGTCAGAAACACAATTGGATTGAACTGTTCTTTTATAAACTAGTGAATTTTGTGTTATCATACCTGTCTCATGGCTAAAATTTTAGAATCAGAGCTATAAGATTTCTGTTTGTGTCTATATGTTTATGCATGTCTACATATGTATGTTATGTATGTGATACTTTTTGACCTCTGGATGCTATTGCCAGAAGTAAGTTGTAAAAGGGCTCAATTTAATTGGCTTAAAAAAATAAGCACTTACATAAATTAAGACTACTCAAATGAGTTTATGTTGTCTCTATTAGATATTTAAGATTATAAAATTTTGAAATCATCCTAAGAACAAAACATATAATAAAAATACACATATAATTAAAATAAATTGCTTAATGTAAGTCAGGCGCAGAAGGAGAGAGAGAAACCATGTAGATGCTTTAACAGATGCTTTGCTTCTATGATATTCAATGTTACAAAAATTGTCAGCAAGAAAAATAACTAAAGATGATGGCTAACTGTCAGTTTCATGATTAGTCTAAACATAATTATTTAGAAATGGGAATTAAATACATGTAAATGGAATAGGTTTATAAATGAACTTTTCAACAATGATTATGTTTTATAAAATATGGCTGCTTAAAAATAGTTTCTAAAATCTTTTTGGTAACTTGAATCCTTAAAGTTATACTAAGTTAAATTAAATTAATATACTAGATATTTATTGAATATTTAGATAATAATAAGATAAAATGCTGAAACATTAAATGCTAAATATAAATTTACCTACTTTGGCTTTTTCTTAAAGGGAGACAAAAGATATTTGGGTCTGTTCATAGTGTGGATCTTCTTGCCACACTGAAAAAACTATCTATAGAAAAAAGCATATGCTTCTAGAAATTCTGAAATGATATGTTTATACATTTGCCAATCTACTACAGAATGCTGGTATATAACAAACACTTCACAACCAGCAGCTTCCTAGTTTTCACTAAAATTAGAGTTTCTAAGAGTTAAAAATTCTAATCAATATATGTAACTAAAAATGCTAGAAATAATAAGGAAAAAAATTCTGTAGGCAAAATATACAAATAAGGCAGAATATGTTTTTGGTTAAAAAAAAAGATATGAGGTATGATGTGTCTTTGTAAAGAAAATGGAAAGTAATCTTGTCCTAGGTTAGAGGTTATTTAAAGTTTGTTTCCAAATTAAAAAAAAAAAAAAAGAGGATAAAGGATAAAAACTAAATAGATACAGAAAGTTGGGGAGAAGACAAGGAGAGAGAGAAAATCTTATCTTGTGTTGTCAAGCTGGCTAAAAGTAAATGAATTTATTATAAGGGTTTAAAAAATAAGATTTAATATCAATAACATACCTACACAAAGAAACCAGAATGTTATTCCCATATATGCCTCTTTGACATAAAATTTATTTTGAGCTGAAGGCAACTCAGCAAAGCCAGGAAAAGCTCCTCTTTTTCATAAAAGGCAGGACATAAATTCTCCTTTTGCTGGAGACAGACTCTTTAACAGTTTAGACATGGCACTAGAGAAATCCGCAAACAAACCTTACTGCCTTTGTTTCCTCCTGAATATTTACCTTCCCACAGGATTTATTAGACATGCAGATTATCAAGCCCCATGCCAGACCTGCTGAATCAGGAACTCTGGGGATGGGACCCCGAGCAATATGTGTTTTAACAAGTCTTCCAGGGGATTCTCATACTCTGGACTAAAATAGTATGGTGTCATTTACTGGGATTGGTTCAAGAATGGGCATTCGATCCAATACTTGCTAATGAGACGTAATGTCCACTAGGAGCACTTCTGGGAAAACCATTCTCATTCCTGAGTGAAAATCAAAGGGAGTGAGTTTTTCATCTTCCTCTGGAAATTTTGCTTAGAAATATTGCAGTTATGTTGCTGCAAAACCAGGAATGACATAATACCAAGAGCAGCAGAGCAGAATGATGGAAAAGATCTGGATTCTTGGGGCGCCTGGGTGGCTCAGTCGGTTAAGTGTCTGCCTTCGGCTCAGGTCATGATCCCAGGATCCAGGATAGAGCCCCGCATCGGGCTCCCTGCTCCGCGGGAAGCCCGCTTCTCCCTCTTCCACTCCCCCTGCTTGTGTTCCCTCTCTCGCTGTGTCTCTGTCAAATAAATAAATAAAATCTTAAAAAAAAAAAAATCTAGATTCTCAATAGCGTCATTGAACCTACAACCTGCCCTGAAACTTATTCTACCTCTAGACATACTTCTGAGTCAAGAAATATCCTTATTTTTAAAGAGAATTTGAGTCAGGATTTCTGTTAGTTGCCATCAAACATATCTCATAGTCTGATACATTCGACTTGCTAATATTTTACTTTGGATTTTAAAAAAAAATTTTAGAGAGAGAGAGAGAGTGCATGAGTGGGGGGCAGGGGTCAGAGGGAGAGAGAGAGAATCTTAAGCAGGCTCCACGCCCAGCCCTACACGGGGCTTGATTTCATGACCCTGAGATCATGACCTGGGCCAAAATCAAGAGTCAGATGCTTCACCAACTGAGCCACCCAGGCGCCCCTTTATTTTAGATTTTTAAATGTATATTCATTAGTAAAAATGAACCAAGATATATTTTATTTTTGTTGGCATTGTTAGCTTTTAGTATCAGGATTAAACTTCTTAAAGTAAATTGGGAAGCTTGTCATAATTTTTATTATCTGAATAATTTAAATAACTCAGGAATTAAGTGTTCTTTAAGATATGTAAGACTTTTT